CTCTTCATCACGAGACGCCGGGGAGGCGGGCAGGGGTTCATTGATAAAAACGCCCGGCTCCCTCGGGCGCGAGCGCAGCGTAGCAAGTTCAGGCAGCGCTACGCGCGGCCCGGGCCAGGCGGAACCGGGAACAAGCCGGGCCCGCGCTGCGACGCGCCGCCTGCATGGAGCCCGCCGCCGGCTTCCTGTCCCCGCGCCCCTTCCCGCGTGTGGCCGCCCCGCCCGCGCCGCCCGCTGGGCCCGGGCCGCCTCCGAGTGCCATGCCGGGACCTGAGCTGGAGATGCTAGCCGGCCCGCCAGCGCCGGACCCCGGGCGCCTCATCACGGACCCGTGCAGCGGCCGCACCTACCTCAAGGGCCGCCTATTGGGCAAGGTAAGCTGGGGGGTGGTGCTAGTGAGGGTGGAGGGAGGCCCTGCTGGCCTCTTTGCCGGCGCCGGGCGGGGTGGGAGCGCTTGTCCCCCGCGCGGGGACGTCTGCCAGCCAGATCTGGCCTCCCCTGGAACGCCCTGCCTGATGCCCCCTCCTCATAGGGGGGCTTCGCCCGCTGCTACGAGGCCACTGACACACAGACCGGCAACGCCTACGCGGTCAAAGTCATCTCGCAGAGCCGCATCACCAAGCCGCATCAGCGCGAGAAGGTGGGCCCGGGCCCGGGCCCAGGCCCAGTGGACGAGGGGTGGAGTGCGGTCTGTGGCGTGGGAGCCCTTGAAGGATAACAACCTCGGGCCCCCATTGCAGATCCTAAACGAGATCGAGCTGCACCGCGGCCTGCAGCACCGCCACATCGTGCGTTTCTCGCACCACTTTGAGGATGCCGACAACATATACATTTTCCTGGAGCTCTGCAGCCGAAAGGTGAGGGATGGGGGTGGGGGTGGGGTAGGGAAAGAGGGCCTTAAGATCTAAAGCTGGAACCCTGGCTCTTCCTCAGGGAGCACAGATGGAGGGAGAGTCAGGGAGGGTGGACCAGGGGCTGAGGGAGTGGCTCTCTACAGTCCCTGGCCCACATCTGGAAGGCCCGGCACACCCTGTTGGAGCCCGAGGTGCGCTACTACCTGCGGCAGATCCTTTCCGGACTCAAGTACTTGCACCAGAAGGGCATCTTGCACCGAGACCTCAAGCTGGGTGAGACTCCTGGGCCAGCAGGATGGGGGGGTTGGGGAGGCAGAGAGAAAGGAGTCTAACACACTTCTCTGCCCCCGCCCAGGAAATTTTTTTATCACCGAGAACATGGAACTGAAAATGGGGGATTTTGGGCTGGCAACCCGGTTGGAGCCCCCGGAGCATAGGAAGAAGTGAGTGTTTGAGGAGGGGGTGGTGACCACAGTCTGTGCGTGACATGGATGACATGCGAGACAGATAGTGAGTGTGTATGTGGGAGGAAGGATGACTTCCTCATGTGTGTGTGATAGATGGGGAAGGGATGATGGGCTGTTTGTGTGTGTGTGTTTGAAGTTGGAGTCACAGCCTGGGTTACTGGGACTGGTGGAGAGGCTGAGGGTCCTATGGATGTCTGAGTCCCTGAAACAGATGGGGGTGTAAGGATTCTTGGAGGTATATCGCTGATCCTGTGTGTGGATAGGGGAAAGAGACATAAGCAACGTGTGTGAGACAGACTGAGAATGTGGAGATGGCAGGACATGACACCCTGTGTCTGTGTAAGAAGACTCTGCTGTGGCCACGATGACTGGCTGTGAGTGACATAGACAGCATGTGTGGCAGATGAGTGTTTATGGGGGATGTGACAGCTGGTGTTGGTGTGTGTATGGCACAGACCATAGGAAGTGACAGCCTGTATGGGTGTCTGACAGACGGGAGTGGGGGTAGGAGGAAGGGATCAGTGATGGACCTTCTGTTGACCCTGGTGGAGGAGACAGGGTTGGGGTTCAGGGCCTCCCCCGGTCCTGCAGAGCAGCTGAGCAGCTGGGCCGGGCGGGTGGGTGGGGACTCAGCTGCCATGCCAGGCATCCATTGTCCCAGGACAAGCAGTTTTCTGGCCTTCAGTGACAGGCAGCTGCTTTGTCTGGACTCACAGTGGGGGCAGGGATGGAGGGGCTAGCCGGACTCCGTCTGAATCTTCCCCTCTCCTCCTGCTCCTCACCCCTCTTCAGGACCATCTGTGGCACCCCCAACTATGTGGCTCCAGAAGTGCTGCAGAGACAGGGCCATGGCCCCGAGGCAGACGTGTGGTCCCTGGGCTGTGTCATGTGAGTCTCGGGGTCATCTGCACACAGGTGGGTGCACAAGGCGGGCGTACCTTCCACTCTACTCCTGACCCCCTTCTCTCTGCCCCACAGGTATACGCTGCTATGTGGGAGCCCCCCGTTTGAGACCGTTGACCTGAAGGAGACGTACCGCTGCATCAAACAGGTTCACTACACGCTGCCCGCCAGCCTCTCACTGCCTGCCCGGCAGCTACTGGCCACCATCCTTCGAGCCTCGCCCCAAGACCGCCCCTCAATTGACCAGATCTTGCGCCATGACTTCTTTACCAAGGTCTGTGGCTCACCAGACACCTAAGTCCAGTCTGCATAGTCTCAGGAGATTGAAGGGGGGCAGGTGATAGGACCCCTGGGGCCTCTCTTCTCTACTCACATGACTCCCCTCCTCAGGGCTACACCCCCGACCGGCTCCCTGTCAGCAGCTGTGTGACAGTCCCGGACCTGATACCCCTTAACCCAGCTAAGATTCTACTTGTCAAAGTTACCAAGAGCCTCTTTGGCAGGAAGAAGAACAAGAGTGAGTCTGGGATGTCAGTGGTTTTGACGGTACAGAGGGGCAGGGGGCTTGTATGCCCCCCATACATTGTGGGGGCATGGAGTGCCTGTGGCCCCTGGGGAGAGTGTGTTGTACGGGCACTTGGGTATGCCTCTTTGTAGCATCCTTATGGGAAGCAGGGGGGCTGGGCAGAATACTAAGGGCTATATCTCCCCCCCCAGGTAAGAACCATCCTGAGGAGCGAGACGAGGTCTCCCGTTTGGTGAATGGCCTCACTCGGACATCCATTGGCCATCAGGATGCCAGGGCTGAGGTGAGGTGCTCACGTGGGCAGTGTTCCCCTGACTCACCCCGACCCTCGCAGCTGTGGGAAGCCCGGGATAAAAGAGGCTGGTGAAGCATCTAGCCTCGTAGTGGCCTAATTGGCTGTGTCTCATTAGCCAGGTGGGGCTGACCTGGGGTGCCCTGGGTTCCAGGCCAGGGCTGGGCCGGGGACTCTCAAGGATTTGGATTGCGGGGCCTGTCTCACTGCCTTCCCCTACCCAACCCTCCAGGCTCCAGCAGCTTCTGGTCCAGCCCCTGTCAGCCTGGTAGAGACAGCACTTGAAGACAGCTCACCCCGTGGGACACTGGCGAGTAGTGGAGATGGTGAGCAACCTGGAGAATGAGAGGTGCTAGAGGTGGCTGGGGCTGAGACCAGGGACCAGAGGGAAGTAGTGGACAGGGGGACATCGCCTGGGTCCTGGGGAACTAATGCCTAATTCCCGGTGCTCTGTTCCCTTCAGGGTTTGAAGAAGGTCTGACTGTGGCCACAGTGGTGGAGTCAGCCCTCTGTGCTCTGAGAAACTGCCTTGCCTTCATGCCCCCAGGTAAGGGTGATACATGTGTATGGGGTGGGAGTTCTTTGGCTGAGAGGCCAGGAGCAGGTCCTCACTCCTTCCCCTCTATGACAGCGGAACAGAACCCGGCTCCCCTGGCGCAGCCAGAGCCTCTGGTGTGGGTCAGCAAGTGGGTTGACTACTCCAACAAGTTTGGCTTTGGGTATCAACTGTCCAGCCGCCGTGTGGCTGTGCTCTTCAACAATGGCACACACATGGCCCTGTCAGCCAACAGAAAGTAAGTGCTGTCTTGTTATGAGGTGCCTGGTATCCAGGCCGTTGTACCCAGCAGGGCTGCACCGTGGTGTGTGCTTCCAAGCTCAGGGGCCTGGGGTCTCTCGGGAGGGGTGTTGGTGCAGGGCTCCCTCTGACCTTTGTATCCTCCCCTCCAGGACTGTGCACTACAACCCCACCAGCACAAAGCACTTCTCCTTCTCTGTGGGTGCTGTGCCCCGGGCCCTGCAGCCTCAGCTGGGTGTCCTGCAGTATTTTGCCTCCTACATGGAGCAGTGCCTCATGAAGGTGTGTGGACTGGGGTGGGGCACATTGAGGACTAACACATCCTGATCCCTTCTTCACCTTTGGGTGGTGCTCAATGCTAGAGGCATCGATGGGGAGGGGCCTGACTCACGTCAGACAGGTGACCTGCCCTTGCCCCCAGGGTGGCGATCTGCCCAGTGTGGAAGAGATGGAGGTACCTGTCCCTCCACTCCTGCTGCAGTGGGTCAAGACTGACCAGGCCCTACTCATGCTGTTCAGTGATGGCACCGTCCAGGTAAGAGCCCCTCCTGAAGCTGGGGGAAGGTCTGGGAGGCCCAGGGTGCTGGCAAGGAAGCTGGACCTGGGGCCTAGGCCCTGACCAGTGCCACTCTCCCGTGCACAGGTGAATTTCTATGGAGACCACACCAAGCTGATCCTCAGTGGCTGGGAGCCCCTCCTGGTGACTTTTGTGGCCCGCAATCGCAGCGCCTGTACTTACCTCGCCTCCCACCTTCGGCAGCTGGGCTGTTCCCCAGACCTGCGGCAGCGGCTCCTCTATGTTCTGCGCCTGCTCCGGGACCGCTGCCCAGCCTAGGACCCAACCCTCAGAGTAGGCCACAACCCAAGCCGTGGGGCCTGAGGCCTGTGCCTCTGGGGCTCTGGCCCTTGCCTTTGTGGCCTCCCTGTCCCTTTGGTGCCTCACTGGGGGCTCTGGGCCAAATCCCCCAGGGAATCAGGGACCAGCTTTACTGGGTTGCAGGCTCCCTGTCCTAGCTGCCTCCAACCCCTTCTCCAAGAAAAACCTGAGCCTTAGCCCCCAGCTAGGGGGCGTTATTTATGGACCACTTTTATTTATTGACACATTTATTTATTGAGATGTGAGCCCCAGGGAAGGCCTCCTCCTGGGATAATAAACCGTTTTGCAGAATTGGGGGGGCCTCCTCACTCGCAGTAGAGCCCGTGGACCATGGCCACGGCGAAGAGCGAGGCGTTGGTGACGGCGGCGGAGGCCAGCCCGTCGCGCGCCGCGTCCCAGAGCGCGTGGCTCACCACGCGCACGCC